CCATCCCAGGCACCATTCTAGTGACCCTCCTTTGAACACTTTGCAACAATTCAATGTCCTCCTAAGGTAAGGAGCCCAAGACTGAATACAGTATTCCAAGTGTGGCCTAACCAGTGACCTGTACAATGAAATTATAACCTATTTAGACTTGTATTCAATATTTCTATAGATACAATCTAAAATCCTATTTGCCCTACCACTAGCAACAGCACACTGCTTGGATGGCTTTAGAGACAGTTCAACTATTATGCCAAGATTCCTTTCCTTCATAACACACTTAAGGTTATTCTCATCCAAATTATGCTAAACTCGGCCCTTGGATATATTTTTTTTTAACGTTCTGATCATCTTTCTGCCTTGCAGGTAAATAGCTTAAACATTTTCACATTCACTAGTTTATCATACTTTTATTTATTTTTGTTGTCCTTTGGTATAAAAAATAAATTGAAATGACAGTAGAATATGTATAAATTAATATCTACATTTACCTTTGTACACGACTTTTACATTTTTCTTTAAACACCAATGAAAAAATTGAATAGCTCCAGAAAAAAGAGAAGATGTTGAGAAACTTGGGTATTTTGGATTTAATTAAAGCAGAAATTCTTTAAATATTCAGAGTGCTCTCTTTAATATTTAATTATTTGTGTTCTAAATGAGTCATAATATGTACATAGATCTAATAGTTCTCCATTAGCAAATGTAAGCCAGATCTTTTTATAACAGGCTTTTTCATTCTTAATTACTGTATTTATGTGTAACTTAACTATAATCATTTTTTATAGTATCTTTGAAATATTGCGTAGTTTCATCATTTTACATTTCGTGGCATGTACAGTGTAATTACATCTGTAAACCTGTAATTGCAGAGAAAATATTAAGAAAGCTGTGAGCAGTGCTACTATGTTGTGATTTTAAATAGAGAGGAAGAATTTTTATATTGATTTTCTTTTTCTTTAATGAATAAAGATACCAATAATAATATAATTATATTTGAAACTTCCTTGTTGATCATAAATAAGAAACGGATAAGATACTTCAAAAGGCACTAGATGTTTAACAAAGTACATGGTTTTTTTTTCTAAATTTTTTTCTTTATTCTCCCGAAGAAGATAATGGTGAACTATTCAGAAGCTTTCGAGTTTTGGATCTCGTTTGAAAACCATTGCAACTTTTGTGCTAAATTCTTATTAAAATTTTCATGTTCTAGTTATCATTTTCATATTATATAATCTAACCAGTGCAAGTATAATTTTAGGCTAGTCTGAAATATATAACTACTTGACAAAAATTTTCTATATTACAAGTATAATTAAATATGTAGAACTGTGTTTGAAACTGTATGACATAAGAAGTAGTATTCATCTAATAATATATGTGTACAAAAGTTCAATAGCTAGACTTGTAATTAAGTTAATCCCAGGAAAAGTATACAAAGAAATGTTATTTGTTTTGAATGTTGTGAAGTATATGTAAATCCTGTATTACACTTGTGTCTGTTTTGCTTACTTTTCAGTAATCCAAGTTTTTATTCACTTCTGAGCCTGGCTTTAGAGAGACTTCACTGCCCTATGAGCACCATGAATTTGAATTTCCTGCTTCCTCTACTTCCTGTGTTGGTCTTATCTGTAAATCCCAGACTTAAAGGTGGGTCTATGGTCTAGTATACACTAAGCTTTTCTACATGGCTTATGATCATTGTTTTCTTATTGGAAGTACGTACACCAAAGGTGCTCACCTAATACGTCTTTATGTACAGAATTGTGGTTTTCTAAAATCTGTCAACTTGTAATCAGAGTTTGTGATAGCAACCAACTTTCAGTGAAGTTTTGATTTTTTTGTTGTTGTTAATTTTCCTGAATTTGAGTGGTAGTTATATTTTTTAGTCATATTTCAGGAACTTGTCTCATATACATGATTATTATATTTTTCTATTAAATTTCACAATATCAGTATATGGAAGCTAGATACATTTAAATATTCGTAGGTTGTAACAAAATGTGTAGTTTACTGGAACTGGTCTGAACTGAATGTTTATAGTAAACACTCAGTACTAAAAACAATATTACAGATACATATATTATTAAACTACATACATAACTTACATGAATCTTTTAGATACATATGTAATGTAATTAAACTACATACATAACTTACATGAATATTTTAGATACATGTGTAACTAAACTACGTACATAACTTACAGACATGAATCTTTAGATACATATGTAATGTAATTCAACTACGTACATAACTTACATGAATCTTTTAGATACATATGTAATGTAATTAAACTACATACATAATTTACATGAATCTTTTAGATACATATGTAATGTAATTCAACTACATACATAACTTACATGAATCTTTTAGATACATATGTAATGTAATTAAACTACATACATAACTTACATGAATCTTTTAGATACATATGTAATGTAATTAAACTACATACATAACTTACATGAATCTTGTAGATACATTTGTAATGTAATTAAACTACATAACTTACATGAATCTTTTAGATACATATGTAATGTAACTAAACTACATACATAACTTACATGAATCTTTAAGGTACATATGTAATTAAACTACGTACATAACTTAAACATGAATCTTTTAGATACTTATGTAATGTAATTAAACTACATACATAATTTACATGAATATTTTAGATACATATGTAATGTAATTCAACTACGTACATAACTTACATGAATCTTTTAGATACTTATGTAATGTAATTAAACTACATAACTTACATGAATCTTGTAGATAGATATGTAATGTAATTAAATTACATACATAATTTACATGAATATTTTAGATACATATGTAATGTAATTAAACTACGTACATAACTTACATGAATCTTGTAGATAGATATGTAATGTAATTAAATTACATACATAATTTACATGAATCTTTTAGATACATATGTAATGTAATTAAACTACATAACTTACATGAATATTTTAGATACATATGTAATGTAATTAAACTACATACATAACTTACATGAATATTTTAGATACATATGTAATGTAATTAAACTACAAAGTTATGTATGTAGTTTAATTACATTACATAAGTATCTAAAAGATTCATGTAAGTTATGTAATTTAATTACATTACATATGTATCTAAAAGATTCATGTAAATTATGTATGTAGTTTAATTACATTACATAAGTATCTAAAAGATTCATGTAAATTATGTATGTAGTTTAATTACATTACATATGTATCTAAAAGATTCATGTAAGTTATGTATGTAGTTTAATTACATTACATAAGTATCTAAAAGATTCATGTAAGTTAAAATGAATCTTTTAGATACATATGTAATGTAACTAAACTACATACATAACTTACATGAATCTTTTAGGTACATATGTAATTAAACTACGTACATAATTTACATGAATCTTTTAGATACATATGTAATGTAATTAAACTACATACATAACTTACATGAATCTTTTAGATACATATGTAATGTAATTAAACCAAATAACTTGCATGAATCTTTTAGATACATATGCAATGTAATTAAACTACATACATAACTTACATGAATCTGTTAGATAGATATGTAATGTAATTAAACTACATACATAACTTACATGAATCTTTTAGATACAT